TGCCTTTATACTTGAAAGGGGTGTTTGCAATTTTATCTTTTAAAACATAATGCATACACAAAGTTTAAATTTAAAACTTAATTCTAACCCATATTATTCACTATCACATTTATAGTTCATAATTTATATTTCTATTATATTTATGTTTCTATTATATCACCCATTGAAAACCAAAGGGAAAGTTTGAGCGCAAATTACTTTAATTTTGACTAGAAATTTCAGAACGTGACCTTTCCAAGGTGAAGGAGTGAACTGGAGTCTGATGTTGAGCATTTTGACTCTGCAGAAGTGGTTTTTTTTGCAAGTAACCATGAGAGTACGAAGTTAGAAGGCAGAGCCAGGAGGTCAGACATAAGAGTCAAGGAAGTATGAATGACATCATCATCCCTAAGTACCCTCTCACAAGATGAATGAGCTCTCTCTTGTATTACAATGCTAAAGAGCATTAGAAGGTGATATGATATCTAGACAACACATAAGATAAATGCCTCAGAGTATGCTAGAACAGCTTCCCCCCCACGCCCTCCACAAGTTCATAAATCCTTTGGTGGTCTCAATTATACAGTATGTGGCTGATGAGCATTATATGTTGTGGTCAGCTTCTTCTTGACAAAATTCATTTAGCTTTAACAAGTACCTTGAACATTATCTAATTTAGTTTCTTAAGCCAAACAACTCAGTGTAGCTCTAGATACCCCTTATCTCACTAGACTTGTGGCCCTTTTGGGACACAGAGTGTGGTTTTTTCACTAGTTTCTGAATAAAAAGTAAGCAGATGTCACCAGAAGAAATATCCCACCTCTTTTAAAGCTAACACAAAATGTGTTTGTCATGATAAAACTTGACACAAAATGTTTTCATCTTGATAAAACTTGAAATGCAAGTTTCATGGTCTTAATGAATTCCTCCTGAAGGGAATGCATACCTCCAACAAAACATGCAAAGGTGCTGTAGGGTTCAAGGCACGTTCAGTCAGAAGTGGATTCAGTCTGAATTTCAGTTGTTGTGCTTCAAAAGCATCATTCTGATATGATCTTGCAATTCATCACTTTTCTACGGTGATTTTGAAATATGCAAAGTTGCAGCAGACTTCACTACCCAGACCCTTTTTTTCTTATGTAAACACCCCTTAGTAAGTTTAGAAGAAAAATATTTAATTGCATTTATGTTTCAAAAATTTAAAAAGTCCAAATCCCTCTGTAGAAAATCAGCTTCAGTTTGAAATAAAAATGTACTGTGGATTTTTGGTGTGTAGCTGCATGGACTGCAATGTTCTAATGCATCATATTTAAGTACCAAAGTAATTTTTCCTTTTATTAATATTTGCTCAGCTGTTGTTGTTATAGAAATAGTGTTCATTTGAAACAAAATGTGAGACAAGGAGACCCTCACTGTAGCTCTAACTAAATGCTGCAAAGTCCTTTATTCTAGACTAAAAACTGTCAGACTTTTAGCATTAATAGAAGAGTGGATCTTCCTTGACAAATGCCCCCATAAATTAGATATTAGCTTTAGTCAAACTCTGTCTCTCTCAGAAAATATTTCCACTTGCATATTCAATTGGAAGGACCTTACATGATGCCCACTTACTGCTATGAAAATCTGGGCTTCTGAGATGAAGGCAAAGAAGAATTGCTGTGAACAAAAGAATATCTGGAATGGCAGACCTTGAGCTTATGCAGAGATTTCTTTTTATAGAGTGTTAGTTTCACTCACTTCTTGATATGTCTGTCTGCTGCTCTGTCCACCTCTCTATCTGTTTATCTGTCACCATTGCAGTGGTAACATGCAGTATCAATTGGATTTTAAAAGACATAGATCTTTTATACTAGCTGTCTTTTTTTATAATACCTTTTACAAATTTAATCAATGCATTTTAATATACAATATAGTTTAAGTGCAATATACGATAAATATTCAAGCTTCATCTTAAACATGCTCTAGCCTTTAAATTGTTAAAACTGCAGTGCCCTTTCAATCTACTTACATAATGTCATAAAATATACATTTCAAGGTAAATGAAGTCAGCTACTTCAATTTAGTCCCTCAAACTGGTAGTAAATGAGAGGTTAACACTATGGTGCCAAACCCATTATTGAGTAAATTTAGCACCTTGGACAGCTCTGTAAAATCTTTATTGCTTTCCTGACCTGCTCGTCATGTTCTGTCTATGTGTTCAGTGGCTCTCAGCTCTGATTGAAAGGCAATATATTAGATCCCGAACACAAACATGCTCGGGGGCTGCTTCACTGTGAGCGTAATGACATGGAGGTGAGAACAATTTTCTGGTCACCGCAATCCAAGCACCTTGCAAGGTCTGTTGCTCTAACTTATAGAGGACTTTTGGGGCTCCTTTGTATGTGGAGTCATAACAGGGGTTTCTATTGCAATTTAGGCAGAGCTGCAAAGGATTTAAGATGCATTCAGGAAACAAGAAGTTAATATCTTGAGCATGTCTGTAGTAGCATCTTATTGTGTATTTTTAAAGCTAATTTGTGTCTGTAAGAACTGCCGTCAGCTCCGGAATAGGAGGGACCATTATTTGACAGAGGAGGTTTTTTGTGTAACATCTATTTTGTATGATCTGAAAATGTCATAAACAAGAAATGCTTTTATTGTGTGAAAATATTGTTAGAGAAAGTATGAAACTCAAATTTACAGACTCTGAAAATGTTGAAAAAATATAACCATTGACTAGCTAAGAAAATTGAATGCTACTTGTCAAACAGGTTTCAATAAACCATCATGACAATTAGTTTTATTTACATGCAATATGATATGGCATTAAAGAACTTCTAATGTTTAAGAACTGGAATATATTTGATAGTAGGTAGAGCAGCTGTAAGATTCTATGTAATTACCTCATTTTCTAACATGGTCTTCAGTCTCTTTTTAGATGCATTCTAAGGTTTTTAGCTCAGCATTACATAAATAACTATGATTAGTCAGGTAGAGCTGAAATGACTATTTAAACTTTCTCTTTTTTTAGTAATTTGGCATAATGACAGCTTAGGTTAACAATATTCTAAAGCATTTTGTGGGCTCTGTATCACATTCTAATTTTCCATCAGTGAAATATATAGTGCAAACAATTTCTACTGAAGTGAAATAAATCCTAGTTTGCAAAGTCAAACACCTGTGCAGTAATTTTCCATCTAAAATCATGGATTGAGAAAGATACAATTTTTTTAGTAACTTCTCTGCTCTTCTCTGGTTTGCACCTTCAGTGTGAGGAAAAAAAGGACAACTCAGTGTTCTGATGAACAAGGATTGTTTGTACCTGAATGTTGTTTGTAGTCTGTCTGTCCATGATTATCCTGCTAACTGCTGTGGTCAAGCTACACAAAAAACCCCCACTGTAAAACAACAATCACAGCAGAAAACAAACACCAACCTCAAAAATCAAACAAACAAACAAACCAAACAAAAACCAACAGAAAGAGGCTGTAGCAACTTAACTCAGAATCTGTTTCAAATGTAGTGATTTAAAAATCCATCAATTATGCATCACATCTCACTTCATATGTGGAAAATAATTTAAATATGTGTTCTGAGACAGGGGTGTGTGCAGCAGAAGGCAAGCCTAAATGTTTACTGGGAGAACAAAAATCCTCCATCTCATTTTTGAATTTAGGACATTATATATGTCATAAGTAGTTACTGCAGTATGACAACTATTTTATCTTATATTATAGAGAATTTAAAATTGAAAAAAATGCTAATATGCATCTAAAAGCTTGTCATTTGAAGAGTTGTTCAAGGATTTTTGAAGAGGTTATGGTGACAGCAAAATGAACGCAATTATATCTCTATTTTCTGATCAGAGTCTACAGTATATGAAAATTGAGCATTACTGTTTCTTTTTGGTATAAAATATGGCTATTGTGTAAAATATTTTAAGTTTAAAAGTTTAACTTTGTAGAAAACTGTAAAATCCTTAGAACTGGTACTATTTTTGTAAGCTACCTGCAGAAATATGCAATGGTGAATAGCGTCTTTTTGGAACATTAGAGCACTACTTAGGGGCTGGGAACTACAAAAAGACATTGTTTTACTCAAAGGATGTTCTTGACCGGTTTTGATCAGGCAATTGGGAATCTGTTTTGAAAGATTCTTTGAAAGAATAAGATAAAAAAAATTCTTCTGGGTTAATTCTGCAATGCAGTTTTATATTTTCTATCAGGGTTATTATCAGGACACTGTAAAATGTAAGAACACAGGAAATGTTATTATTCCTTGAATGTCAGTATAAAATAATCTAAAACATATTAAATGAATAGGAACAAATGAAAAAATGGAGGGGGAAAAAAATTGCCCAAAATGGAGAACTAAATCCCAGACTGTTTTAAATTCTGCCGTCCATGCAAGGAATTTTTCCAGAAAACACTTCATGGTACTGGGCTGTTCTCTCACACTGCACGTGTTTTACTCTTGGGCATCATTTCATGTACATGGATCCTACCCTGACCTGAGGTATCAGGATACAAACTGAAGAAGCTGAAAGGTTACATTACCGGTAGCATAGGACTGATTGGATATCTGCTGAATGTGGCCTGCTGGGTAAGGTCACAATTCCTGCAGCATGCAATTAGGAATAAAATAAACACATTGAAGGGATTCATAACATGCTCTGAATGACATTGATTGCAGTAATCTAGTAAATGACCTCAGGATTGTATTCTGCAATAAACCGATGAGTGGTTTATCGTGCAGATGGTAGAGACAATTGAGTGATGTATTTTATTTTGCAGCACCAGTGATTCTCACCTTTCGACTTGATTAAGCGTGTGTGTGAATAGGATGAACTAGTGATTTAACACCAGTCAGTGTTCGCTGAGAGTTGTTACAATTAAGGTTTACCTGGTGGGAGGAAAAAAAAATAAAACCTTCCACAAAACACTAATAGAACTAATAGAAGAGAATAAAAGATTCTAATATTTGTTTTCCACCACAAGGAGTTTATTGAACTCAGCAGAATGCATCTGTTTTTGTATTGACAGGAAGTAATACTTAAGAGGGCTGCTGATTTAGTAGAAGCACTCTATGGTATGCCACATAATAACCAGGTAAATGCATTCTACTTCAGCAATTCTTTAACATGGCTATTTCTTAGATGTATAGATAGGGGGCTGAACGTATATAATACTACAGTGGGAGACAAGAATAAATGTAGAGGGCAATGCCATATCTGCAGTGGGGTTTAGTTTGCTTGTTTTCTTTTTTAAAGGGTGTGAATTTAGTGCTTGTAAAAGCAACGTGTTATTAACCCTGGAGGCTTTTGCCCACTTTTACCAGATACTATATGATATGGGTGATGATATGCATTGTGTCTTGCCACCAGTGATTTTTCAATCTTGCCCTAACGACAGCTTTAAGGTGGAGAAAGTCTCAGCTCCAACCCCATTCTGCCAGTTGGTCTTTTTATAGAGAAATGTGGCCGTTGGGACTGAGACTTCCAACTCCCTTACCACAGATGTCAGGATTTGTCACAAGGCAGCAGATCTTATAAGCATTAGCTCTCAGTCAGCTAACTGCTGTAGAAAGAAAAGCATCTAGTTTTTGCCTTTGGACAGGGAACTGTTTCATTTGAGTCTGTAAGAAAAGGTTTGTCAGTCGCATTGGTAACTCTTTTATTCTTTCCCTCCCCCCTCTCCCCCCTTCTTATCCTGTAGGAAATCATCCTGAAAAGAGCGGCAGACATCGCAGAAGCTCTCTACAGTGTCCCCCGCAATCACAACCAGCTCCCCGCCCTTGCTAACACATCAGTCCATGCAGGAATGATGGGAGTGAACTCCTTTAGTGGTCAACTAGCTGTCAATGTTTCCGAAGCCTCACAAGCCACCAACCAGGGTCAGGAGAAGATTCATCTTCCTCTCTCTATGAACCTTTTCTGATAAAAGTCAGGGGAACGTTCAGAGCAGAGGCAGAGGGACGGTTCAGGCAGCCCCATCCCAGACTGTGCACGCCCTTGGAATGACACGGGGCTGCCAGGGAATGGGGCTGCCCCAGCTCGGGAAAAGCACTTCTGCATATCTCTACAAAGCTTTGCATTTTGCTCAGAATAATACTTGTATTTGTGTTTAAATCACACTAATTTTAAACCACTTGAGCATGTACTTAATGTTAAGTACTTGCTTGTATATTTTCCTGAGCATGGATGATCTCTCAGTCTGGGCCTTGTGTAGCACTTCTTTATAATATAAAATTATCCCTTGAATATTTGTCTGGTTTAGTTGGGGATGTAACACTGGCACTGTGTTTTTCTCAGAGTTTGAGACTTCTATAAATTTTACAACTAGCAAAGAATAGAAATATTTGCAAAGACACTTTCAGAGCTTCTCTAATTTTTAAAATAAAGTGGTTTTCACTTTGTATAAAATCAATACTGTTTTAATTCCCACAGTTAAAAATACAAAATAGGTTAAGCACATTTTTGTAAAAGCCCTTTGCATTTTCCCCAGTCCTTTTCTCAGCTCTATATATTATCCAACTTAAAAATTCACTTTAATGAGAAAATATTGGAATGAGGCTGTTTTCTAGGGGAGTTGACAAAATTATTTTGCATTACACTAAAAAAATAGAAATTATTTCTAGATTAAAATATTTTGTGGATGTGCTGTGTGGTAGGAAGAAAAATTGGCATTTTTTCTTTCTGTGCTTCTAGAAACAAATCTTCCTTTATGGATATTTGGATATGAGTTTCTGCAAATGTAATCTCCAGAATTAGGTAGCGATTCAAATTTTAGCTTGCTGCCAAATTTGATACTCATTTTCTACCACATAATGATCAAACTAGGGCAAAAAGACAAAGGATATCCCACTACTTGGAGAAATACACTCTACATTTTCTGAGGTGTGCAGTGAGCAATCTAGCATGAGATGTGTTAACTGAGAGTGACACCAGAAAAGAGTTAACAACAACCACGTGCTTTTAACATACCTTGAGCTGGTATTTGCTCCTCACTTTGAAAATGTAGGTCATGTTTACTCCATTTCCTACAAACAGCTCTTTCAGAGTGAGTGTTCCTCTAACACCCAGTGGTGATCTTTGCTCGAGGGCATGGGTTGCCTGAGGAGCTCTGAAGGTTCCAGCCTCCCTCCTCCTCCTCCTCCCCCCAGCAGTGACCTGGAGCAGGGAGGGTTCACAATTTGGGGTTGCCTGGTGGTTGTGGGGGTCAGTCCTGGCCCTCCCTGTGCACACCATGGCTGGACTAAGCTGCTGCCTTGGTACCGCAGTCACTTGCTTGTAGCTGTTTGTGTGAGAAACTGTTCTGGAGCTGATACCAATTTCTAAATGTATTCCCTCCCCACAAAAGGTTTTACTCGCAACTCAAGCAGCGTGTCACCTCATGGCTACGTGCCAAGCACCACCCCTCAGCAGACAAATTATAACTCTGTCACAACAAGCATGAACGGCTATGGGAATGCTGGAATGTCAAATTTAGGCGGTTCTCCAACCTTCCTGAATGGATCTGCTGCCAATTCTCCCTATGCCAGTGAGTATTACATGGCTTTTCTGTATTTTGCACATTTTCATTAGAGGGAGATGGTGACTTTCCTGTGATACTCAATATTTAGTTTCTATTTTGAGCATTTGAAACAGATCTTTCTCTATTCTCCAAAGCACTGAACCTTTGAGGCACTTTGAAGACACTAGCATTGCCAGAAATGCTCTGCTTTGTTTATTGTTATTACTATTATTATTATCATCACCATCGTTATTAATTGGGAGTCTCATAGCCACTAATAATAATAATAATAATAATAATAATAATAATAATAATATATCTCATTATTTGGTCTGATAGTTTCATAACTTACCTTATAAGAAACACTGTCCTCGCCATTGACTTCTGAGCAAATAGCATCTTTATAACCTTTATAAAAATTATGAATTATTGTTGGGCCTAAGCTTGATTGCTTATACTCCATTTGCTTTTTAAGTAGTATTACTTTGACTTCACTGAGAGCTTAGTATTAGTCAGTGAAATGTGACAATGGCTCTCAGAGTTTGTGTTTTAGTGTCTGTACAGTGAATGCCACAGAAATGTAAGTCATACAAATCACATATTCCACGGCGTGAAGAGCCTATGGTCTACAGTCCCAGTTATGGAAATATTTATGTGCAGGACTAAGTTTCTGCATTTTGATATTAAAGGTTTAGTAACCTGTTTAAATATAAATACCTTTCTATTGGTAGAGGCCTATGGACCTCTTCTGCAGCTGCTCACTCAGCTCAGCAGTCCCTGGTCACACGAGAGAATTAAATGAGCAGGACCTGCCCAATTCCTCTGACATTACTCAAGTGGCACAAAGGATTCCACTGACATCTGTAGAAAGCTGACAGCAGAATCAGGATGGAAGGTCTTGTCATATAAATAGGTTTATAGGCTGAGACCATAGCATGAACACGACAAACAGACTGATGAACACACCAAGGTTTACACATCAAATTTAAGTTAATGGTGTAACAGCAGAAATGAATTATTTTGAATTGCATGGCTAGAGTTCAGAATTAAAAAGGGGATAGGAAACCTGACTTTTAAAAAAAAAAATAATAACTTCAAGGTTTCTTATCTGCCTCAAATTTAGAAGAAATTATTTACCCACATAACTAGTACTTATAACCTGGGAATTGCAAACCAGTGATTATTTTTGTACTCTAATAATAAGGTAACATGTAATGTTACAAAGTACCTTACTTATTAAGTTGGATTTACTGTCATAGAAACTGCACACTCTGAATTCGTAATATAACATGATTGATGAGACATCTCCTTTTGAAAGCAGATGCCAGTAATGCATTTAAAATACTCTAGCAGTGTATTATTTCATATTTATGAACGAAGTCCTCTTTAGAATAGCATTTCACTTTCTAGCCCTGGTTCTCTTTTCTATTTATATTTTGGGAGGTTTTCTTGGTAAATCTGTCATTCTGCTAATGCCTAATCCATTGAATCAGAAAATGCTTCAATCATGACCTGAAAATTAAAAGGTGGCATTCTTAATTAAATCAATAAACTAATTGCTGTATAGTAGCAATTCAATTTAGGTGCTTTGATTGCTCTCCCTTAGCAAGTACTTCCAGACACAGAGTGACTTCAGACTAAGATTGTATCTGTCAGACTGTGAAACTTTGAACATTTAATTTCCATTAATTGATTTCCTCAGTGTTAACAAATATGATATCAGATTCTCAAATAAGAACTTAAATAGGGTGATTTTTATCTAATAAATGCAAATAAAATAATAATTCAAAGCCCAGATGATCAGAATTTTACTCTATAATATGTAATTATTCACAGCCCACTTGTGTATCTAAGCAGTTTTTAACAGGAAGATGAATGAAAGTATGGGATCTTACATTTAGTCCTTTCCTTTTGTTTTCAGTTTTTGGTTTGTTTTTGTTTTTTCTATGTTGGATAAGAGGGAAAACTGGCAGTGGTTTCTGAATATTAAAGTGGTTGATTTCATTTTCATGAAAACAAATTCACTTAAAACCTCAATGATAAATACATGAACCAAAGATATTTATCCCACTGTGTGGCAAAAAATTACGGTTTATCAGTGTTTAAAAACTGAACTTCCTATATGGCAGGCTTGCATTTTGAACACTCAGTTCAATCACTAAAAAAAAAAAAAAAAAAAAAAAAGGAGAGCATCCAAGAATCAGAATTCTCTTGTTTCTGCAGCCTGTTATTATTGAATACTAAGAAATGCCTTTTGTGGGGTCTCTTTTTCCCTCTAGTTGTGCCATCAAGTCCGACAATGGCCTCCTCCACTAGTCTCCCCTCAAACTGTAGCAGTTCCTCTGGGATTTTCTCCTTCTCACCAGCCAACATGGTCTCAGCAGTGAAACAGAAGAGTGCTTTTGCACCTGTCGTGAGACCGCAAACTTCTCCTCCTCCCACCTGCACCAGCACCAACGGCAACAGCCTGCAAGGTACGTGAAACCCAGCCTGGAGAGCAGGTGGCTGCTCTCAAACTGCGAGTTCCCAGTGCCTTTGCAAGGCTCTAAGCAACACTGAGTTGTCAAAGGGGATAGAACACAGTGGGGGATCCCTGGTGGTCTCTGTCTCAAAAGTTTCCTACTGTAAAGAGTAACTGGACTCCACCACCAGCCCACCTTGTACCGTGCAGGTGTTTGGCAACCACCCTACCTCTAACTCAACTAATGCTGCTGAATTGAGAGGCTGTGTCCTTTAAAGCACAGACCTACTGTTATGATAAAAACAAGTAATATTTCAGCTTACTAATACCGTCCTTTTTCTTTCTTTCCTCTCTTATTCCCTGTTGTCGTCCTTTATCAGACCAGTCTTTTGTGGACTCTAGCAAGTACTCCACTGCAGGGTCTCTCCAGGGGCTGGCCTTCTCCTGAAGTACGTCACTCAATCTTCCCTTCCTTTTTGTCCTTTGTCATAGTACACTTGTGCAGAAATCCTACTGAGAGCAAACAGACCATTACAGAGCTTGGCACAAACCTTTCCTTTCACAAATAGGAGATGCATTACAAACTAACAGCAACATTTTCCACTTTAACTTGTACCAGGGCAAACATTAGTTTCCACTGATTAATCTGCTTCTGTGCCAATTGATTCCATAAATGGTGCAGGGCCTTTTGGAAAGCCTATTGAACTGCTGGTATCAAGGGGCTGCTCCTTTTCTGCCTCCCTTCCCCCTTCAGTACAAGTATTCCAGCATTAGCACCCAAATCCCTTTGAAGCGTTGATGCAGGCGAAGGAGTGATGGACAAAAGCTTGTCAAACTGAGGGTGCTGCAAAGCCCAGCACCGCCCATCTCATTGTTTGGCTCAGCCTGTTTTACAAGGTTGTGCCTAAACCTTCCCATGCAATTCCCTCACTGTGCATTAGTGTGATGAGAGAGACATTTTCATGCTCGCTTAGATCCAGGAGTTTCCATAAGCAGATGCATCCAGCTGCCTCCAACAGTGCCAGAGGTGGGAAAGATTTTGTGGTATGTGTTGTGCTTCCCCCAGACCTGAGATCTGTTTCCTTTCCACGTGCCTGTGCAAACTACCCAAAGAGCATGAGTGGGGAATAAAATCTGTCATTGTCAGAGCCAGGTTCAGAAGGAGCTGTGCAGAAGCAAGGGAATATTGTTCCACAGACTCCACATGTCACTGTATGGCCTCTGGAAAGAGAAACACTGGGCTTGAAGGCATAATGCTGATAACACCACTAACAGCCAAAAAAAATCTATATGCAAGCAGAGTAGAAGGAATTAATTCGTAAAGGCTGGGATCTATTGTGCCTGAAGGAAAGCACTGTCCCTCAGTGCATGTTATTCTAGTGAACTGGGGAAGAGGAATCCTTGAAGGTGCAAAAACACACACTCAGAAATTGCATAAATACTTAGGAAGGTATATTAAGAACTTGGATACCTCCAGTCAAGACTTTGTTGTAAGTACAAACTGTGTCAGGAATTAAACACAGCAAAATTTTCAGATGAGCTGTAGCATTTAGGGGATTCATTTTTGGACATTTAAAAGATTGGGCACTGCTGACAGGCTACAAATTTTAAAAGCAACAGCTAAAAACATTTTCCATCTGAATTAAAAAAAAATAAGCCTTTGAACATGTTAATGTTTTTTCCTCTCTTCGCCTTGTCCCAACTTGCTGTTGCAGATGGAGAGAAAAAATGAGTAACAGGAGAAAGCTTTTTCAGGCACTATTTTTCCTTTCACAAGACACAGAATTCTCAGATTCCATGTACTGAGTTATGAAAAGCAATTATGGAATGAGCTGAGAGTACTGGACACAACTGGGGCTTTTTGATTGCCTCCTCATTATGTCACATCCACATCTACAGTGACCAGAAACCACACAGATCTGAGCATTTCCCCTAATTTTTATTTAGCCATTCAATTTTCATAATAGGAATGAGACACCAAGAGATGGTTCATTTTTAGGTCATCATTGAACTTGTTGGCGAGTTAGAGACACAGCCTTTAGTCCCATGCCTTCTGACACCACCTGAGGCTTGTAATAATCACTCAGAGATGCACTGCCTGTTGTGCCTTAATGCTTAAATAAACAACCATGTGTAAGGAGGCTGTCTTATCTCTCTTGGGCTTCTGGATACATCAGAAAGCAATCAAGCTTTCCTTATGTAGCTCAGATATCAGCAGTAACTCACTAAAACAGCAGCTAGTCTTATCTGTTGTTCTCTTTGCCATGCAATTTTGTAAAACCCAAAATACATTATTTCTGTAATTTGCTAGCAGCAAATACAAATTAGTGCATGATAGAAGAAATAAAGGCCATTGGTGGGAGTTTTTCTACTCTCTGCCCTCCCTTTCTGGAGGTGGTGTGATCTCATACCTACACTGTTTCCCACTGCTATCTCTGTTTTCAGGATCAGTAACATGCTACAGCTGAGAGAATTTGCATGACTAGATGCAGCACTTATGGAATAAAAGTGGAGTGATATAAATGAAGACTTGCAAAGAATGGAAATATCAAAGCTTTTAGGCAGAAAAGATATCATTTGCCATTTGCCTTGTAATTTAATTCAGAATTTCAGAGCTCTTCAAAAATAATAATGCTTTGAAAAAATGAGCATCTGTGGCATTTGTTTCCAGCAGCAAAAGGTGTGTATCTGATCTGTAACCACAGGGAAATGTCTAAACCATGAAGGAAGGAATTGCAATCATCTCACCTTCTTTTGGCTTGTAGGGTAGACAGCTGTGCTGTCCCAAGAGAGACAATTGTTGACCACTTATTGGTGAAATTGATTTGGTCCTGATGAAATTTTTAGCTTGGGAATTTTTGTTGGGATAATATCTTGACATGTTCTGAAGAATAGATACTTTTTCTAAAGCAAAGTTTCAATATATTTAGAATTTACAAAGGGCTGAAAAGCACAAAAATTCATGAAGTAGTATGTACAGAGGATTAATTCTATTGCACTCATCACATACAGGAAGGCTCTACCCTTTCCCATGTCCTCAACTCCTTGCTTACCTGAGCAGAAAAAGGGGGGGAGCTCTGTGGTCAGTTTTGTCTCTCTCTGCACCAATGTCCTCTATGCTTCTCACATCAGTGTCTTAACCTAAACTGTGGGGTTTAAAGCAACTTAACTCACCTCTCTATCCCTTTCATCCTCATTCTCAGCTCCTTGAAGAGCCCTTATGTGGGGTGGAAACAATCAGTACAGTAATTCCACATAAACCATTGCTGAATGATAAATTCTGATAATTGAAATGCTGCTGCAACGTCACCTCTGAGGATGGCCTGTTGCAAACATGTTGGATGTGTTTTGCATTCTCGCCTTCTCCTCTCATTTTATTTCATTTAATCAGTGCAGTTTACTCGAGCTGTTCTCCCCTTGCTGATTAGACTTGTAATTCTTGCACATATGGTGGTGTTTGTGGAGAAAACATTTCCCTCCTCTCCCCCTCCAACCCCAAATCTGTGAGTCTTTTACTTTGGCTCTGTTCTTATCAAATAATTGCAGCTGTAATTAAAGCACAATGAATCAGCATCAGTCACAGGGTTGAGTTCTTCCTTAAGAAATTACATGTCCAGATGTCTGCAATGGCAGGCAGTTCCAGCATTTAAATCATGTGCCCATGAAGTGCCACCAACCTGAAGGCAAATCTGTTTTCTACCTCTTGGCAAATAACTGTACAACTGGCATTTTAAAGACACATTGTTGTTACAGTTTTCATCATAAACTTCCATGACTACCCCTTGCAATGACGTGCTTGCTCACAGTATGTCACTTGGACACGTGGTATGTTTGATCTGCATTGAGTCCCCAGTAAATAGGAAGAGATCAAACTGGAAGTCAAACTACTTGGAAGACTGTACCAGTTGACTTTTAGCTAAATGTCTCCCTGTTAAGAGAGGTGGTGGTTTTACAGAAAGTGAGGCTAGGAAGCATAATAAAGAAATAGTGATGATTCAACTTAGCCAACAAAAGAGAAAATAAATAAACATTAACATACGACTCACTCGATGTAGTTGGTGGTGTCTGCTATAAGTGCAATAAAATCATCAGATGCTGGTCTGCTAACCCACCAGTTGAGGATATATTTCAAATTGAAAATTAGATTTGGGAGTTTAAGTCCTTTTCTGAGCATCTGGAAATACATCCATAAGTCCCGGGGATGAACACTGAAGTTGTAACAGAACTGGTGTAGGAGAATGACCCATGTCAGTGTGACAATGCAAGGGACACCCTTCCAGGTCCCAAACAGTTGTGGCCTGTGGGGCTCCAGCTGTTTTCCCATGTGTGGTGCAAGTATCTGCTTAGCTTTTAAATGAATAACAGAATGCATGGCAATGGCTGGGTCAAATTTAAGCCTCCTGTCCATTCCAAGATTTTAAAACTAAAATCAGAAAAATAAGTTGGGGTCTGATACTGATATTGGGGAAGGACACTGTTTCTACCAGAAAATCAGTAATTTCAGCCCAATCACTTGCAATTTAAGTCACTTCTTTCCAGTCAGGAGGCTTCCCATGAATACTGTGTACATAGTTGTCTCTTATGAATAATACTTATGTATAAATTTAACTCAAAGTACAGCTGAGTAAAGTTCTATTAAATAAAAGCTCTATAAAGCTCTAAGGACTTTAAAAGTTGCTTGATAATGCACAAAATTAACCTTTTTCCCCTCTCTTTCTCTCTCTCTCTCTTCCCCCACCCCATACCCCTTTCCTTCTGACAGCTATATCTGGCATGATTGTTCCCCCCATGTGAAAGAATTGCCTTGAAGAATTTTATTAATGAAGAGGTTGAATTCTGCTTCAGAGAGAATCTGATACAAGTCCCAGAGTGGAACTTTTTACTCAGGCCTTTTTAAAAATAAAAAAGAAATAAAGAAGGATCTTACAATAACTGCAGATTTTTAAACAAAACAAAAATCACCATCCTTGCAAATACTGAAATTAACAATCTACAATTGCAAGGTGTTGATTCAAGTTGTCCATCCCAAATACCTGGGAAATATATTTATTGTATGTTGATAAAAAAGAAATTCACTTTTTTTTTTTTTTTTTTTGGGGGGTGGGGGCTTGCCTTTATTTCCTTCTGGTTTTTTTGTGGTTTTTTTTTAAGGCTTGATTTAACTCAACACCATTTGTCTTTTATAAATCATACAATTACACAAGGGACACTAGAGATGGAACTCCACATTTTTAATTTATGAATTTTTTTTTTTTTAAAGCTGTGTAAAGAAAAATGGAGTGGTGTCATTTACATACAAGTCTGTATGGGACAGAATAGAAGTGCCAGTTAGTTTTTCGTAGAAGAATTATGGCCATTTAATTAAGGGTCGGCTCATATATGTTGCTTATCCAGTGGTGACTTGATAATATGATGCATTTTTAATGTTCTAAATAAATAGGTATCACTCCCTAGAAAGCTGATATTTTTGGATGATGAGGGTGGGATGAAGAGTGGGATAAGGAACCTCTGTCTCTAATATCAGGCTGAATAATTGTGTAAATAATGCGACAGGAAAAGTTCATCATAGGACGCCGGGTTGGAAGGGGGCCCAAAGGTCTAACCTTTTTCAGCAAAGAGCTGGTGAAAGGGAAGGTAGGGATGCAAACACATTGCTCTTGAACCGAAAATCCAGTGCCTCTAGATATGATGCTAAAAGTGCAGAATTAGACGAGCACAGCTCTCTCTTTAGCTGACGTGTCAGGCTCCTTCCAGAGGCGCAGCTTGAGACGCCGCTCGGATGTGGCCTGAGGACACAGACTGTGGCCAACCCTGTAGGGTTTTTCAGTGTAGCACTTCTCCCCTCGACCTATTTTCATGGGGCAGGATGAGAACAACCCCGGCTGCCATTCCCCATCCTCCCCCACTAAAAGCACAGGTTGCGTCAGCCTCCCACTGGGATCGTTCCTGTATCAGTCGACCCTCTCAGCCTGTATCATACTTTATAAAGCAACAGGTAACTGCTTTTGAATAGTGAACGGAAACATGAGGTTAGGGGAGGGTGGGAGGGGTTGTTAGGAAGGTTTCAAATCAAAACCATAGCTTCTGTTTTACAAAAAATTTTGCTATCATTATCTGGGAAGTGTTCTTAAAAACTATTAGTCAAAGAGGCAGCAAAGCTCTGAAGATGCATTACCTGATATTTTTTCTTTGCTGTTGTGTTTTGTATGTAGTTATAAATACTGTAGATTTTTTGTGATTTTTTGCCAAAGTTGTTGTTCTATTTATACATTTTAATGTCTTAAGACAGTTTTTCAATATCACAAAAAAAAAAAAAAAAAAGAATTTTACTGCATATTTTGCAAAAAGAGCTCACTACCTTTAGCTTGCACATACTTGCAAATTAATTAAAGAAAAAAAAGCTTTTTGTTTCTGTTTTTTGTTTGTTTGTTTGTTGGGGGATTTTGTAAAATATCCATATAAATAATGTATTTATCTTTGGAATTTGTACATTGCTTTTTGTCCCCTACAAGTTTATTTTATTGTGTATGTTTGCTATGTGAAAAGTGCTGATTTGTTTGGTCATTCACCGTTGTATTAGCTGTTTAAATGTGATTTTAATACATTTCATTTATAGGGTTGATTTTTTTAGTATTGTTTAAAACCATGCTTCCATTTTTTTTTTTTTTAATTTCCACCCAAAAGCCATTGTCTATTTTTGTATTATTTGTAAGTTAAGAAGTTTTTTCCAATATATGGCAAAAGGTAGCATATTATTCTTGTAGCATTTAGTTATGTAGATTTTAAAAAAAAATGTATCCTTTGCTTTTGAGGCTTAACAAAAACTAATGCTGTTTTACTCTATTAATATGCATGGGATTTCTCCTCTTTGGAGTGACGCATTTTTGTGCATTAAATATGGGGAGAAACTTCATAGAACTCAATGAAAATACTTTCTTTCTTAAGTCTGCTTGTATATTTCTCTGTCTTTCACATAAATATAAACCAGCAGATTGGATGCCTTAACAATGCAAATCATATTCATTTCACTTGTACATTGTACTGTGCACCAGAACTGTCAATCATCACTAACATTCTAAGAAAAAAAAAAAAAAAGGAATTGAAAAGCACAAAAGAACTGTTTTGTTACCTTAAAACAATATAACTTTTTTCTAGTCAAGCAAGAAATCATTTACAACGATGCTGCAACTGTGCATGCTTCCTGTATGAATTTTGCAATGGTTTTCACTAGAATGTCACAGTGTGATCTTTGGGGGGAAGGGAAGAAAACAGGATTTTTTTTTTTTTCATGGTGAGAAAATAAAAGAAGAGAAAACTGGAAAATGTGAGAGACATCAGTTTATTGCTTCTCTGTATTCCAAGTGATTATTCTAATTCACATAGTAAAGCAACAGCACGACAATGTAATCAAATTTAAAGCCATATTTTGTCCAGTGACACCGTCGGTTACTCTTGTAGAGCTCCACTCAGTCCTAGTGATTTTGACACCACTCTTAGCCACGATGTTTGTAGTCTCTAAGCCAGTGTCCAAAGATCCTTTGACAATGTGCATAATTTTGTTTTGTTGCAGCTACTTATCGTGATCTGATGAATGGGAACTTATCAAAAATCTCCCCTGCACCACCCTTGTCTTTTACAAAGTAAAAGATGCAGCTGTTTACAGAATATGGCTTTAAGTGGAAACATTCAGATTTCAGTTTTAACAAGGTGAAGCTTCACAATGACTGGATTGCATAAAGTAATGCCTATTTCCTCACAGTTGTACTAGGATGCAGCTAAAATGAAGTCATCTCTGAAACTACTAACCTTTCACCTTCTTATCTAAATCTTTTTGAATAGACACACACACTGTACAGTTCTATTGTTAGAGAAACTAACTACTGTAGAGATTGTTATAATTTTTTTGCAGAAATTCAAGCTGTAAAAACTTTTCAACTTTCACAATATTTAATTAAAGTTACTTCCTGTCTGTGAATAGAGCTCCTAGTTGTGTGTTTATTTTTCTGCCTCTGCTAGCTAGTAAGTGGGAAAAAAATAAAAAATATAGAAGCCAGAGGCTAGTGAATTGTCTCTCTGAAATTAAGGAGAAACAGAAATTCATGGAATTACACAATCAAACATAGTGAGTGCTGGTGCACTGAAACTCCTTTTCCTTCATCTCTAATGGATTTCAAAGGATCCTCACTCAGAATGCTAAATTTCATCCTGTTATAATTAATCTTATTATTTCCATTGTTTTACCTTGATTTGCCTGAAGGATATATTTTTCTAGTGGATTTCAGGAGCGTTTCTGGCTTTAGGCACTCAGTTGCAAGAGCTGTCTCTCTCTAAACTCAGTGATCATGAAGCACAAGGCACTTGTATCCAGTGCTAGAGACCCGGGGAGATTTAAGTTTCCATCTTGGTCATATTTAAGTCAATGGCAACACTTCAGGGACCAGGTCTTGAGTGATCTGCTCAAGCCTAGATCCAAGAACTGCACCTGCCTCTGCTGAGCTGTAACTGGCTTCTTGACTTGACCATGAAGAAGGCTCCTACAAAGTGTTTCCATTCTGCTGCCCTTCCTTAATGACAAATTCATCAGCTGCTAAATTCGTTCTGGGCATTTCATTTCCCTCTGTACTCCTCTGGCAGGAGAGGACCATAAGGAACTTTACTTCTGGCATGTGGAGGGCTGACATACTGGAACTTAACTTCTCTGTAATACAGAAGACTTTTAAACACCACACCTAATGCGAGGTTCCAAGCATTCCCAAGGAAGGAATAGGGACAATCAAAACCCTTTAAACACCACACCTAATTCAAGGCTCCAAGCATTCCCTAGGGAGCAATGAGGATGTTTGGGATTGCAGTTAAAATGTACTTTAAAAAATTAAATTTACTAAAAACATGACCAGCTGAAAGTGTCTTCTCGCAATGTAAAGTGTTGGATATCTCTTAAATGTTAGCAGATCCACTCCAGTAGTTGTTAGAGGAAGGAAAGCTGCTGGCAAAGTCAGACCCCAAATGTGTTTATTCTGTCAGCACAAGAGATCTGTTTCTTCTGTCAAAGATAATTCTCCTGCTTCTCTTTCACTTGGTGTGAATATTGGCAGCTCTCACTGCAGCTGAGGGCTCTGTGAGTGCTCAACTCACTACAAAGATGTTGGGTCACATGAATCTGAAAAGCAGGCTGAAAGATTAAATTCAGGATGTAGTATAACCTGTAATAGGTGAAGCAGAACAAGAGCTCTTTTTCAGTCTTTTGGATCCAATGACAATAGCTTTGTTTGAAATTTAAATTTAGCCAGATTTAAAAAGAAAGGGGGAGGGTGGGCAGGGTATTAAGATGGCATGAGACTTCTCATTCAGATGAAGAGGAGTCTGCTGGCCAGCCCCAGTGATGTCCTTCTGACAATCCAAACGGAGCTCACCTGGGTGACAGCACTGTAATAGATGATGCATTGCTTTCTTGATGCCAAAAGAAAACCCTCCAAAACCCAAATCATATGAGGACCAGGTGCAGGGGTCACGTTCAGGCTGCAGAGAGACACGTGGCCAGTGATGGGTTATATGCCCAAAGGGAGAGGAGTGTCTTCTGCCATCACACAGAGAAATCTAGATAAAAGGTGTATAATGGCATGACCTATTGCTGCCCTCTTACCTCATGGCTTCTTTAATTTTTTAGCCACTGAAGTAGTCACTTTGACTTTAGGGTTTGTGTCTGGCAGTGGGATTTGTAGGGTTTTTTTATGGGTCGGTCTCTAATTTTGTATTCAGTTTAAAAAACCTCAAAATGAGTTGCCTTCACTGTTAGTTTCCTGGCTTTATCTGAGTGTCTGCTTATTCCCTTTAGAGTCTGTCTTACAGGCTCTTGCCACAGCTGTGTTGTGTAATCATTTATGTAACTGTGCTTAACATCACAGCCTGTGCATCTTCTGCCATTGCACGGGGCAGCTGAAGACACATTTGATGTTAAACCATTGATTTCCTGAGTTCCTTCCTGTTTGCTGCACCTTGTTCCCTAGTTCTCCTGTACATATTCACATTGTGCTGCTGTATCACAGATGGGTGGAAGCCTCCCACAGAATCCCTGGTCCCCAGCTCAGCCCCATACTCTTCTAGTTCCACGGGACAGAAGGTTTTGGAAGAGCTTTAGCAAATGCCACATTCCCCAGGTTTTTCCAAATGTGGGCCCACTCCATCTTAGTTTATTTGCCCTCATTACCCTTTCAGGCAGGTTGTCACTGGAGTCCATTCCTCTAGTGCATGGAAGACATTACACAGTCTAGTTCTGCTCCAACTGTGCTTTTGAACATGCCAACCTGTGTTGGTTCTCCTGTTAAATGTTGAGCTGCTGTGACAGGCTTGGCTTTGCTGTGCTGTTGTGCTATGCAAAGAGTTGCCTTACTTTTTATGCAGAATCCCCATGGCTTTTTATTTCCCCATTTTAATTTCATTCTGTACTTTTCTTGCTTGTGCCTGTCTGCATATCTCAGACTGGGGGATGGAGATTCCATGAGGAACATCCACCTCATCATCTCATAGCTGTGACCATCTGCTTGCTCATCTCCATCCACAGCAACATTACAGAAGCAGCACTTGCTACTCACTTCTTCCTCCCTTCACAGATACACTTAATTATCATTGCACTAATAAAGTGCAAAACCTAACAGCGAGCATTCCAAGTCCACTCAATACAGTAAGGCCACGTCTCAGAGATGCTGAGCCTGACATTGAGCTTCACTGAGACACCTGGTCAGTTGGTTGCTGCCTCCTTGCTCACCCACCAGCTGTACTCACTGCTTTGTGTCATTGCCACCTCCTGCCTGCCCCCACCACCATTGTCTCAATGGCACACTGCCTGATTTGGGCCCCATTTGACATCTCTGTTTCCTCTATTCCCAGAAGGAGCTGGCTCTGGCATCCCTTTTCCCCAGCATCTAATGCTGATATTTCAGTAGGGGAGGTCAGGTCAATACTTTAGATAAATAAGTAATAGTTCCAACTCCTCAACCCTCTTCACTCTTCCTCTCCTTGGTGCCCTTGAGGATACAACCAGACCAGAGCTTATGGCACTGCTCCAACATGATTGGCAGGTCATGTGAAAGAGCACACATCTTAGAAAACTTTAATAAAGTAATTCCAGGACACCAATGCCAATGACTACCCAGGTCACAGACTAACAGCAGGGATGGCAATTGCAGGTGGCTTTTTTGTGTAGGTTTACAACAACAGTAGCAAATACAGTGCTCTAACACATATTTCCCCCCATATTTTAAATGAAAAACCCAAACTTCATCACTAATTTGGATGCACATTTGAAGACCTCAATCAAAAAAATTATTTAGATGATCACTTAGCCCTTTCCTGAAACATATAACAAATTCTGTCCTATAGGTCCAGTCCAGGCAAATTCTGGTTTTTATAAAGGAATAAAATTATTCTCTTCAGTTTTTGTTGAAGTATATGAATCCCTAATTTCTCCACATTTATTTATGTCAAAATGTATCTTGTACTTTAGGCACTTACAAGAGTTTTAGTGGGTTTGCAAGAGTGTCTGACCATGCCTGGGTGATTCACTGCAGCCTGGCAGCTCTTGACCAAACATATGAAAAAGACAAGGACTGATGATGTCTGTAGCTCTGTACAAGTGTGCTCTGAAGGGGCACAGGTTATCTGGTTGAGAATAACCTCAGGATAAATTCTCCAGTGAGGCAGCCTCTGTGACTCTCTGTAAGAAGGCAGCAGCTCAGACCTGACCTTAGCTCAGGAGGCACAAAAATGCTGCCATGTGTGTGCTCAGATGGGAAACTGTGAGAGCCATGACAAGCTCTGCAAAACAAGCCCCAAGGTGAACCTGGTTGTAAAAGTTAGCTTTTCTTCAGGATCCAGAGGAAAAGGGAGCACAAACATTGCACAGAGGCTCATCTGGTTGGTTGTTGTGTTTCAGCTTTCACCTCCACTCCCTGCCAGACCCACACTATCCCCCCAGATTTGCAGGGGTCCTGCCCACTGCCCCACTGCCTCCCTGCCCACCATTCCTGCCAGGAAGGGCTCCGCCTTCAGCCTCCTTTCCACGGAGCTCACATTGCTCACCACAGCCTGCCCCAGGCACTGCCTCGCTCCCCCACCTCACCACCATTAACTTTGCCTTCAACCTCTGCTGCATCATTGCCTTCTCCTGAGGGTTCCCTATTTATATAGAGGGGAAAATGCTGTTGCTGGGACTGGAAATATTTTGTTACCTTTTTCTGCTTAAGTGCGAGGCATTTTTATCTGTGATCTCTGGAGACTTATGCTACAGTGGGACTGATTTTATCCACTTACTCAATGCACTTTAGTTCAA